AAATATGCACTATCATTCTTTGGGCACTTTTGAGAATTATGCAATACAAACTAACACTCTAAAATCCATTTCTATATACTTTCTCTTCATTATACAAACTTTCCAGGATTGAATATCCAGTTAACCTCACTCTGAAATATAAAATAGAATGTATCATGGCAAAATTCCTGAGTACTTACTATGTGTTATTTGTTGGCCAAAGCATTTCAGCTAATTACATTTATTTAAAATGGTTATACATTTTATTAGTTTGGTTTATCTTTAAATAGAAAAATGTATCTTTTGTCATTACAAATTTCCAGTTTCCCATAATAAAATCATTCCACATAACTTGAAAGCCATATTGACATGGCATTTAAAAAATTTTCATATTTAAATAAACACTGGGTTTTGGAATCAGATAAGGATTTAAGTTTCTTATTTATAACTTACTAAATACATTTCCCTGAGCCCCAATTTCCCCATCTGAGAAAATAGATCAGTAAAATCTTACTTGAAATGATTTTTTAGTATTGAATGGGTGAATCTATAAAAATAACATAGAACAGGGTAGGCATAATAGTCATAGTTAGCAATAGTTAATATCATTATCAACAACTACCACCAATCCCTCCTCCTCTTTACTCACCTACTTATTCTACCCAACACTGTAACTGCTGCTATTCTTCTTCCTGAAATAAACGTGATGTATCCCCTATCTTCTGCTTAAATTAGATATTCTATTTTCTCTTTCCTATTTTAACATCACTGTAATAAATGACAGATAAATTATTTTTTAAGAATCCCAAATGTTCTCTTCTTTGTATAAAATGTATTCCAGAAAATGTACAGCTCTGTTGTGCCACTGCTATAGTTTCATTACTACATAACTGATACATTTATGTGCTATATTCTGTTGGGTTATTTTAATCAGATAAGCACAATGATGCAGCTCTAACTTTTTTTTCATTTTTAAAATGGAATGAAATATTAAAATGTCAGCTTTGTTACCCTGTCTTCTCCAAACCAATATTTTGTTTGACCAAAAGTAGTTATGAAAGGTGAATTAGTCATATGAATGAATAAAACTCAATGTAATTCTCTGCTTGGCTTGGATTATAACCTGTCTCCATCTCCCAATGCATATCATGAACTCTCTAATACATCTAAAAGTCTAGTTTTGAATATATTAAGAACATCACACAGTAGTAATCTGAACTCAGACTCAGATATTAAACTCTTAGATGTTAACACAATACCCAATTGCATTGATTGCAATACAAACTATGGTTCCATGGCACTCAAGCACATGAGTTCTTTTTACTATCTTGAGAGATTTGTTAGGTAATAATGTCTGTAAAAATTTTACACATTACTATGGATATAGCTGGAAAGCAAATCAATGATAGCTTGTTACTCAAAATATAAGAGTACACGTAAACACAAGAGGAAAACTGAGTGGATCTTGGATTGCCAGTGTCAGGGCAGTTAGTTTCATTACTCACCAAATTGCAAAAGATATGAAATGGGATTTGCACCCAATGTTCATGGTACTCTTACATTCTTGATTTTATTTTTCATTTTCAAAGCCTATCTTCTGCAAGTACATAGATAATAATGTATCCTTATTTCATATCTGGAAAAATATATTCCAATTTTTTCTCAAAGCAATGAAATTTAAAATGACTTAAGAACGTCCTAAAATTGTTTAAGCTAATAGTTTCAGTGTAAAGGAATAGAAAATGGTATATCGTTCATTACTTTGCAAATAAAAATGAAAACATAAGGATAAGTTTTAGAGAAAACAACTAAATAATAAATCAAGGAAAAGAATAATAAAGGAGGCCAGGTGCAGGGGCTCATGCCTGTAATCCCAGCACTTTGGGAGGCTAAATTGGGCAGATAGCTTGAGCTAAGAAGTTTGAGACCAGCCTAGGTAATATAGCAAGACCCCATCTATACAAAAAAATTAAAATAATTAACCTGATGTGATGGCACATGCCTGTAGTTCCTGATACTCAGGAGGCTGAGGTGGTAGGATTGCTTGAGCCCAGGAGGTGGAGGCTGCAGTGAGTTATGATCATGCCACTGCACTCCAGCCTGGGTGACAAAATAAAACCCTATTTCAAAAACAAACAAACATTAAAAGGAGTCACAAGGAAGAAAAGAACAAAAGGCAAAGCACATGGTATATAACAAAACCTAGAAATAGTATCCTACTTACAGGAAGAAATGGGATGGAACATATAGTCAGCCAAAATTATTTTTATAAAAGTTATCAGAAATAGTTTTTATTTCCTCAAACTTTCTCTTTTTTGTTTTCAGTCTTCCTCTTTTTTGTCATATATGTTATTTTTAGGGCACTAAATTATATCTTTTTTGAATACATTAAGAACATACATGGTTAATATTTATCATTCTTAAAGAATTTCCTGTTTTCTGTTTGGCAAATAATATGATAAATGCAAGAATAAAAGAGTAAGCTGGAATTTGAGATTCCAATTTGTGGCAAAGAGATTCTTCTTTTTTTTAAGAATGGAAATGATAAATGTGTTGCCTATAACTCAAAATGAAAATGTGAGAGCAGTAAGAATAAATTATGATGTTATAACTCAAAGAAACACTTAAAAACAAAACATAGAACATAAATAAAATTATTTAGAACAGAAACACCAATAGAACAAAATAGATGCAATTTATCTTTTTTGATAAATACATAGAAAGCTTAATCTGGTCCATGTGAATAGAGGAGAGTAAGGTACAATTTATAGTCTGATCCCATGACACAGTGGTAAGTTAGGTTGCAAACAGAGTGCCCATAGCTTGATATGAAGGAGCAAAGTATGCAAATTATGAAAGGAGCTTCAGATGAATTGCTCAGGCCAAGAGACTATCTTCATAGCCTGGGCTAAGAAGTAGGCAAAATAACCTACAGTGTATGGTTAAATTTATCTTGCATCACTACCACACAATGCTGAGAACAGCTATATACTAGAATCCCTCCCTGGCTTGTCATACACAAACATAAATCTGATCCATTAATTACTGGAAATGAACAATTACCACAAATATCTGCATTTACTATACTTGTTATAGTTCATATTGTTATTCATTATTTCAGTTATTCATTGTTTATATTTATAATTGTTCTTATATGTATTATAGTTGTACTTACAATTATAATTATTCTGTCAAATTAATTTTAAAGCAAAATAATTTATTATGAGGGTTTCTGATATTTGACACTTCAGATCATTAAATGAAGCACCTACTAGCATTTTGTTTCTGCTGTTCAACTTTCATAGCTCTGTTTAGCTCAGTTTTCTATTTAGTGTTTGTTTACTTGCACAGATGCAAATGCCCAGATACTTTATTCTTCCTAAAATAAGTGTGGAATACAAATGCTCTCAGATTGAATTCCTCTTTGAACCTACATTTGAATACTCTCTGCTTAATATTTGCTAATGCCCATGAAAAGCAATTTGATTGACTGTAAAGGCCATATCAAGGAAAAGTCTTATCTCAGAATACTAAAATGAAGTACAATGGCTATGTCTACAAAGCACCGAAAACATCCAGTTGAAAAGTGAACATAGGGCCGGGCGCGGTGGCTCAAGCCTGTAATCCCAGCACTTTGGGAGGCCGAGGTGGGTGGATCACGAGGTCAAGAGATCGGGACCATCCTGGTCACCATGGTGAAACCCCGTCTCTACTAAAAATACAAAAAATTAGCTGGGCATGGTGGCGCACGCCTGTAATCCCAGCTACTCGGGAGGCTGAGGCAGGAGAATTGCCTGAACCCAGGAGGCGGAGGTTGCGGTGAGCCGAGATCGTGCCATTGCACTCCAGCCTGGGTAACAAGAGCGAAACTCCGTCTCAAAAAAAAAAAAAGAAAAAAAGAAAAGTGAACATATTCCCATTTCTGAAGAACCAAAAACCCAGCTTGAGCAGTTTCTTACCCTTACTTCCCCAAATAATAAATTACTTTGGGGTTGGATACATATAGTTGAAGAATTATCCCCATGTTTAAAGTTACTTGAATGACAGACAAAATACTTTGTAGCCATAAAATGAAATAACTCATGAGAACAGATGCATGTTTGAATAATTTCAGTGAGTCAAGCCTTTAAAACCAGTTATTGTTTTGTGCTTTTCAGATTAGCACATATATTGTGAAGCCTCAAACCAAGTCTCAGGGATGACACTACAACTGGAGTGACAATGGAGAAACAGTCCTCTTTTATTTTTTAATTTTTTTTATTTTTTGAGGCAGAGTCTCACTCTGTCACCAGGCTGGAGAGCAATGGCAGGATCTCGGCTCATTCTTGGCTCACTGCAACCTCCACCTACTGGGTTCAAGAGATTCTCCTGCCTCAGCCTCCCAAGTAGCTGGGACTACAGGCATGTGTCACTATGCCCAGCTAATATTTGTATTTTTAGTAGAGACAAGATTTCACCATGTTGGCCAGGATGATCACTTGACCTTAGAATCCACCCACCTGGGGCCTCCCAAAGTGCTGGGATTACAGGTGTGAGCCACCACACCCATCCAGTCCTCCTCTTAAAAAAAAAGTGCACATAATTTTCATTAGAAAACTTTCCTCTTTTTCACAGGACAATCTCCAGTCTTGTAAATGTCAGCAATGGTTCAGACTATTTATTTTAAAAAGATATAAACAAAAGACAATTTTTGTTCCAAAATTGCATTTTGTTTCTAAAGAGATGTTAGTTCCATTCCACTGTCTTTAGAAAGATTTCTTCATTGGTTTTCTTCAGTTTTATAGAAATATGGATATACTATTAAGTATTGTTTTCAAGTAAAGGGCCAAAGAACAGCACAAAGAGGAAACATAAAGAAAAAGACAAACTAGGGCCCTGTTCTTGCCCTGAAAAATGAGCTACCTGTGGGGAAGTTGCTCCCCTAAATAAAGGATCAGGGATCTTTTCCTGTGGTATTCACTGGAATACTGTCTCCCAACAGACACTGGCAAGTACAGAAGACCTCATAGTGTCTCATTTGGTGATTTTCCCCTCATTAGAGTATATTTAAGAAGAAAACTATGAAATCTTTGGATCCAGAGCTGCTCTGGATCCATTATCACGAGGATAGCAAATAATGTAGAAAAGTAACATGTATCCAACAGAGACGGGCTCAGATGCTCGGTTACCATTTTGGAATCATTCTTGGACCGTCCTAACTGTCTCTGTACCTTTTTCTCTCATACCAACACAGGGCACTTCATTGCTGCTCCAATCCCACCTTGCCAGGGCACATCTTCACTCTTGTGACATTTGTCCTTTCAGTTTCAGTAACAACCACAAGTGGCAATTATAAGAAATTTCTGGAAACTGTCCATTGTTGCTGTACAACACTTCATATTATAGAATTCACTGTAAGTAAAGAGTTAAAATATGAAATTCTAGCCAATATCAATGTAATGGGTAGCTCTAAAAAGATTTTAATGTTTTCTTAGTAAAATCTTTTTATTCACTCATTGCCATGTCTTATTCATCTTTGCATGCTCAGAATTTGGGCAAAGTACAAATATGGCAACATGTATGTTTATGACAAAGTATGTATATATGTATGTATGTGTACATTGACAAACTATGTATTTATGTACATTATATATAACACATATTGCATATGTGTTTGCTAAGCACATGTTGAATACCAAAATATGATATAAAGATGTACTTTAAGTTTGTTATAAACTATGAGTTATAAAGAAATTCCAGTTTTACAAAATAATATATCAGAAGAGATTAATTTGAATTAAAATTAAACAAATTAATATTAATGTATGAATTAATATGTTTATGTTAACATAACATGTATGTTATATGAATAACATGTTATTGGATTTGAAGAATTTTCACAGATCACATTTATAACGTACATTTCAACAAATTTATAATTCACTATCATAATGCAACTTAATTAAGTTCAGGGTTAAAAGGGTGGAAGGATAAGATCAAAATTTTAGGTAGCACTTATGATTTGTGATAGGTTAGTAGAGAGTTAAGTATATGAAAGCACCACGGTCAAGAGCATAAATGGCTAGTAGCTTACAACAGTGTACCAAGTATAGTTCAGAGTTCTTTACATGTATTTCCTTATTAATCTTAATATATCCCTATTGACATCATCATAATTGTACAATTGAAGAAAATTACACAAAGTGAGAAAACCGAGCTTGCCAAGGGCCATGTGTTTATATGCATATATATACATATACAGTAAGTGGCAAAGTGCTCAACCCAGGTAGCTTAACCTCAAAGCCACCCTCTCAACATCTGTATGCCTCCGTATGTTGTTTTCAAGATCTTCCAGAACTTAAGATCCAAGAATGCTGAAGTCTTTTATATAAGATGCTTATAACCCATACACATTCTACTGTATACTTTAAATCATCTCTAAGTTAATTCCAATGCCTCACACAATGTAAATTACATGAAAATAGTTTTTACACTGAATTTTTTAGGAAATAATAATGAGGAAATAATGAGTCTTTATATGTTTAGTACAGACACAACCACTCCTTTATTTTCCTGAATATTTTCAGCCTATGGGTGATCGAATCCACAGATGTGGAACCCACAGATACCAAGGGCTGACTGTACTTAAATGGCCTATACAAATAGCAATAAGTCATCATTCAACATTAAAAGTGGTAAGAAATCAGAAAAACAAAGATATATTGCAGAGACCAAATTAAGGAACCTAACCAAAGACCAGGAATAGGTTAGGAATCAGAAATTCAAGAATCAAGCCAGGTGGAGCATTAGCATCAACAATTAGTGAATAGAGAGACAGGTACTGATGCAAGGTACCCTTACATGCATTTTTTCCAGAGCAAATCATGAAATGTAAGTGGTGTGTAATGTACACAAGAAAATGGTCTGCAGATAGCTGGAAAGTCAGAGCAAGTGTGATATTGATCTTGAAGGAAGTATCAGCTACTGGTAATCTTTTTTTTGGAGGCAGACTCTTGCTGTATTGCCCAGGCTGGAGTGCAATGGCGCAATTTTGGCTCACTGCAACCTCTGCCTCCTGGGTTCAAGTGATTCTCATACCTCAGCCTCATTCTAATCCCAGCCTGTAATCTAGTAGCTGGGATTACAGGCATGAACCACCATACCAGGCTAATTTTTGCATTTTTAGTAGAGACAGGGTTTCACCATGTTGCCCAGGTTGGTTTCAAACTCCTGACTTACAAGTGATCCACCCACCTTGGCTTCCGAAAGTGCAGGGATTACAGGCATGAGCCACCACACTGGGCCAGCTACTGGTAATTTTGATACTAGTTGGTAAGCTGTTAGTGTTCTTCAATTTTAACAAAGAGATTCGACCTCATCTCAATTACTGTTGTGCTGGGTAATTCTTGAATGGATCACATTGTCTTGTGCTACAGTTCCTTCTAAAGCAGCTTTGAGATGGCTTAACAACTTATACTAGGACAAAAGTGGTGGACAGTGTGTTTAGAATCAGAACTAAAAAATGCTCAATTGATTCTGTAAGTCCTTCCACCTGTGTTTTTGAGTATAAATTGGAACTTACAGGAACCCACCTGGTATGAATATAAACTATTATGTTAAATCGGAACTGAAAATGAAAATCTCAATCTTATTTTTTTTCTGTTTTGTAGGCTCAATGTAAGAGTAGTGAGTTTACTGCCTCTGAAAGTCACCCATGTCTCTATTTGCATCTGGATATATTACATTTTCTCTTTGAAATTCTCTTCAATCACTCTCCAGTGTTGAATAGCAGCATCAGTAATTGTGTCAACAGACATGATCATTTTATGATCTGAGAAAGCTGGAGTGACAAATGCATTGCCACTTGAAATCTAACCTAAAGACTGAAAGCTGCATTGTTGAGCAGAAGGCTAAGCTGTACTTACATATCAGCAGCCACACTTGACGATCTACGCTGGCTTCACTTTATTTTTTAAAGGCATGACTGATTTTCTATTTTAGATGACAGAATATTAAAATGTCGGGCAGTGCCGTTTTCAAATTCACATAATTTTTAGTCTGTATCAGTGATTATATAAGTCATTGGTTTTTTAACTGGAAGTCAAGTTAATAGAAAGATTTCTAATTATAACTTATTGCTAATATTGCATATGGTTTATAAAACCTATGAATAACATTGATCTATTTAATGGAAATGCAGAAAAGAATAGAGAAAATTATATACAAATTGCTGTATTCCTGGTTCAGAAATTCTAGAAAGATGTTTGTTTATATTTTGAGATTTCAAGCAGCAGGGGGGCATGCTTTTAGTCAGCCTTCTATTGTTATCTATAAATGAGTGAATAAATAAATAAAAATCTCTGCACAGAGATGAAATGAACCAGCAAAATACCAAAGCAAACTAATACCACAGATAAGATTTACTCGTCAAAATTCATTCTTTTTGTACGGGAACGCAGCATGGTAAATAGCGAGATCTTATATAATAAATACATTATTTTCTATAACAGGTTTTTCCAAGAAGACCCAAAATTCTATAAAGCAGCACTGCAATAATTCTATAAATACCATTTTGAAGTACTAGCATTCCAATTTCAAGACAGAATTAAACAAGTCTGAGGTTGATGACATTTAGGAATGGGATGAGAACAGTATTGCTATTCAATAGAAATGAATAAAATGCATATTTATCAAGTTGGCTAAATAGTAACCCTAATAAAATATACCTATAAATGATAATCCTGTAAGTAATTTCATTATAGCAGCCTATGAAATCATATGAGCTTTTTCAATCCTCTCTTTAATTTGAACTTATTGTAAAAATTTGAAGTTCAATACTAAAAATTAGATCTTTTATCTAAGACTTGCTTAATCAACTTTACTTCCTTGTGACAGACACACTACATGGTCTACTAATCCTACTAGCTGTCCAGACACTGAAATACATATTCCTCCTCAAAACTTTATTACACCCAGGTTAACCCTAACTGCCATTATTGGCACCTTCTGTCTTAGGCTTTCTTAGAAAAACAGCTACAAAAGTAGAAGATAAACAATTCAGGATGCTATACCATATTATTACTAAAATGATGACACAATGTCCTGTTCAACAGCAATATCTATAGATTCTCCCTCATTTAAACATGAATTATCTTTCATTTTATTTACTTTAAAGTTTTTATTTATTCATTTCTTTGATTTTAAGATGGGTATGTGAATACAGGGCATTTTCTTTTAAAATTCATCAATACCTAATTGATTTGGTCTTACAAAATGTTATATCTCATTGCCCTGATATCTGAAAATGTAATTCAGAGGATAAATGCAAAAATTTATGCATGATAAAACCATAAACTGCCAAGTTGGATGGGTCATTAAAAACAGTGAGCTAAATTTGAGAGAGATAAAGTGTCTTGCTGTCCAAAGCTTTATGTAGGAGTATTTGGGGAAAACTCTAGATAAACAACAAACGACAAAAGATTTACTTGCATCAAAGGCATCACCAAGACCTCGTAATTTTCTGTGATAAAAGGAAGGTACACACTCCCAATTTGTTCCAAACTGCTTAGTATGGGTAACAGAATGGCTGGTTGGCTTCCCAATAAGTTTTCGAGTCTCAATTGACAAGGGTATCTTGGTATCAAGAATGTATATTACACTGAGGTTCATCCATTCAAGGAAATGCAGTACTAAGTGTTTATTGTTGAAGAAACGCTCAGTTAATGTAAACAAACAAGAAGTTTCAATGTGGAATATAATTTAAGAATCTAAATTTAAAAATGGAATTCAGGTGTAATTTATCTTTAAAATAAGCAAATGTTTTAAATAAACAAGCTCTAAATGTCAAAAAAGATGACTAAAACAAAGATTTACTAAAGAAATATATAGTTAACTAGTTATTATAACAAATGTTATCCAAGCTGTTTTAGTGCAGCCCATTGTACAATATGCGGATATGATGTTTGAAAGCTTAGAAGCCCCTTTCAATGAATGTAGCAATCTCATGCCTCTTAGCACTTATGTGAGCTTCCCCTTGTTACATTGCACTTAGTAAGGCATCTGGCCTTGTACAATACACAAGCATAACATTCTACCTTCAGTGATTTATGGCATCAATAGTAATTTTACATTCTTGATATTTTGAACCATTCTTCTTAAGTTCTCTTTTATAATTGAAACTCCTGTTTGACCTGTTTTTTAAAAGCATATTTAACCAACAATATTCATTATTTCTCACACCAACAGTGTAAATACAAAGAACTTGTAGTGTAACAGAATGTTGAATGGGACTTTTCCTTTACCCAGAACTCCAGGTAAATCCTAAAGCTCAAAGGTCTCAGAAGAGCTTTCCAAAAACGACCTTTACTTTACATTCTCAGAGAGCAACCCTGAAGGCCAACCAAGACACTCCAGA